TGTTTTGAACTCATTTTCCCTTGTCTTGGGTTAGGGTTTTGTCAAACCCCCTATTTTTAGTAAAGTTTTAACCGATTTCTCCCCTTTTTCAGCTACCGTTCAAGACCTCATCCAACTAGATGGTCCCACATTTCAGAAGCCTTGCACAAGAGACAACCCAAAAGCACGCTCGTCTCTTGCTTTACTTGCAAGAAAACCAGAAGCTGTAGGAAAGAAGGCTAAGTGCTTGTTTGGTGTAGCTAGAGCTTTTAATAGAAGTCTTATTGGAAAGAAATTATTGTAGAAATGTTGTTTTGTAAATAAAAAGAAAAATGCAGATAAAATAAGAATAATGTGCTAATTTTATTAAAATCCAAATGAGAAGCTCCTGCAGAAGCATCAATTTGGTGCTTCTGAGATTTATAATGAAATGGAGAAAAGGCTAACTTGTGAGAAGTTGTAGCATTTTTCACCAGTTGTAATGTTTAGTGTAATTTGTGCTTTTGAAGCTAAGAAGTCTTTCCCACAAACTGCACCAAATAGGTAGCATACAATGGAAAATGAAAAGCGAAAAGGAAGAGTTCTAGGGTTTTTAGGGCTTATATAAATATAAGGCTTTGGTTTTTCTCAGGAATTTTTCTCTCCAGATCTAGTGTTTTTTGGTTAATCTTTCTCTTTGGTTTTCTCTCCTCTATTCGTGGGTAGAAAAAGGGAGAAGAAGAAAGTGGCTGCGTGTTTAACATCCTAGGTGCAGGTTTTGAATTTTTTTTCTTTCACATGAATTCTTAGAAAATGGAATGAAATCTTAGATTTTCCTTGGGGTTTAGAATTTATTTCTATTGAATGTTGCCCGAGATTTGTTGATTTTTCAAGTGCACTATTGTGACTTTGTGGTTTGTTGGTTGAAATTGTGGTTCGTGTGTGTAGGAGGACCAACTTAACTTTGAGTTTCCTACATTTTGGTTGAAAATAAAATTTGGAATATTTGGCATTTTTTGAAAGATTTTTATGCTTTTTTTTTTCTATTTCTTTCCTTGAGCAACCAGAAATTGCATTTGAATTCGTCGAGTTCATTTCCTCTTGATGACTTAAAATATGATACTAGGGGCTATTGGCAATTTTCTAGGATTTTTGGGTATTTTTCACAATTTTTCTAAGGTCGCTAGAATTTGGGAATTCGGCTGGATTCTTTCCAGTAGCCGACAACTTTGCTGGACTTTGGAAAAGTTGCCAGCAGCTCCTCTTTTTTCTTTTTTTAGGGACAATATTTTTATCTTATCATTTTATACAATTTTCATATGTAATTAAATAAGTTGATTCATTTAATATCATAGATTCCACATGAATTAAAAGAATCAATCATTTTAACTACACATCAAGTTATACAAAAAAACAAAATAAAAAAATTATACAAAAACCTATTTCCCTTTTCTAAAAAAAAAAAATTCCCCTTTCTTCTCTTTCCCCTTTTCCTCATTTGATGGGCAAAAAAAAAAAAAAAAAAAAAAAAAAAAAAGAGAAGTCCCTTTTAAGATCAACAGACTCAATGCAAAATTTTTAAGGTTTTTATATTCTGTTATGGCATAGATTAAATGGTGTATTTTTATATTTTTTATTATAAGTATATATAAAAAGAATATAAAAATTAATATTAATTTTAATATCAAATAAATTTAATTAGGTAATTGATAAATTAATAA